ACACAAACTGTGAGAAGCCGAAGTCAATTAATATTAGTATTCTGATCAAAGTATTTCTGCACACAAAAAGTAACAAACTCATAATTAGTGTTAAAATATACCACTAACCACTAATATGAAAACATCTCGTTAGTCTATGGGACGGGTCTATTACGCCACTGGGTAAAACTAGGTTTGTAATCACAGTCACGCCTGATTGATCCAAAGTTGTCTGATAATTGGCGTGTCTGACAAATGGGATGTCTAACTTATGAGAGCAAAAGCATACATGGAATTTGAGACCCCTTCTTCATCTCGGTTAAATGTGTGTTTAGCAATAATAAATCCTAAATAAAAAACCCCAACTTGCTTATATATACAGGATGTACAGGAGGACTGCAACAGTCACAATGGATTGACATGAGAGTGACGATGAGAGCTATCGGGATAGGTTTGTATGTTGAGATACACTATCTTCTTATAAGTTTTCATTACTATCAATGCATCCCACTAATATATGATAACATTCATGATAACAGCACTCCGTGTCCAGCTCGTTAAACGACACAATAAAAATACAATTAATATAATAGACTCACTCCCTTAAACCTCGGGCGAAGAATAGCCGTGACGGGCAGACGGGAATTACAAAATAATTGATCACAAAATATTAAAACGAAACGTGCGAACCTGGGTAGGTACACCTCGCAAGTGTGGGGTTGCCCACGATAGAAGTTATTCAACAATGAATACTATGACGACATACCGAGTGTCACGTAGAATAAAAACACAGTTTTGATGCTTTTGTTTCCTTTGTGAGGAGGTTTGACAAGGCCCTTCGCTCCCGAGTGGTGACGTGTGACGTCCTGGGCAGGAAGTGACAGTGTATTGACTTCTCTCCTTAATTACCCAGTTGGGGCTCCCTAATTGACCTTTATTTGTTCTGAAGCAGCATGGACTATTTATTTTATTTGGAAGTGGTTATTGGCAAATGTCAATAGGATTGACAAGACATATTTCAATGCAGTTACATTTTTAAGCTCTCACAATACTGTTTATGTTCCAAGAATTACAAATTAACAGTAATATTTCATATTCAACAATTTCTTAATTTTGACTGTTCTGACGTGTATGTTTTGATATTATCTGTTCGTACACGCATACCATTGACGAGCCACATTTCATGGCATTACTTCTAATGTTTTAAGTGCCTAGTGACTACATATGATGAGGTAGGTGAGAGCTAAAGTAATAATTAATATGTTTATAATAAGGGATAAACCACCATACCCCAAAACATGGAAAACATATATTTTGAGTAAAAGTAATTATTCTCGCCCATGGGCCAACCTATTTTTCGCCCATGGGCGAGATTTTTAATATCGTTCTAAGTTAGTCGAATTAAGTCAATATGAGTTGAATTTTGTTTCATGATACTTATAAACATACACTCATTCATTTACAACCTCCAAAACATGGAAAAACACATATTTTGAATAAAAGTCATTATTCTCGCCCATGGGCCAACCTATTTTTCGCCCATGGGCGAGATTTTTTAATATCGTTCTAAGTTAGTCGAATTAAGCCAATGTGAGTTGAATTTTGTTTCATGATACTTATAAACATACACTCATTCATTTACAACTTCCAAAACATGGAAAATCATGTATTTTGAGTAAAAGTCAATATTCTCGCCCATGGGCCAAAATGTTTTTCGCCCATGGGCGAGATTTTTTAATATCGCTCTAAATTAGTCGAATTAAGTCAAAATGAGTTGAAATTTGTGTCATGATGCTTACAAACATACACTCATTCATTTACAACCTCCAAAACATGGAAAAACACATATTTTGAGTAAAAGTAAATATTCTCGCCCATGGGCCAACCTATTTTTCGCCCATGGGCGAGATTTTTAATATCGTTCTAAGTTAGTCGAATTAAGTCAATATGAGTTGAATTTTGTTTCATGATACTTATAAACATACACTCATTCATTTACAACCTCCAAAACATGGAAAAACACATATTTTGAATAAAAGTCATTATTCTCGCCCATGGGCCAAAATGTTTTCGCCCATGGGCGAGATTTTTAATATCGCTCTAAGTTAGTCGAATTAAGTCAATATGAGTTGAATTTTGTTTCATGATACTTATAAACATACATTCATTCATTTGCAACTTCCAAAACATGGAAAAACATATATTTTGAGTAAAGTCAATATTCTCGCCCATGGGCCAAAATGTTTTTCGCCCATGGGCGAGATTTTTTAATATCGCTCTAAATTAGTCGAATTAAGTCAAAATGAGTTGAAATTTGTTTCATGATGCTTACAAACATACACTCATTCATTTACAACCTCCAAAACATGGAAAAACACATATTTTGAGTAAAAGTAAATATTCTCGCCCATGGGCCAACCTATTTTTCGCCCATGGGCGAGATTTTTTAATATCGCTCTAAGTTAGTCGAATTAAGTCAATATGAGTTGAATTTTGTTTCATGGTACTTATAAACATACACTCATTCATTTACAACCTCCAAAACATGGAAAAACACATATTTTGAATAAAAGTCATTATTCTCGCCCATGGGCCAAACTGTTTTTGCCCATGGGCGAGATTTTTTAATATCGCTCTAAATTAGTCGAATTAAGTCAAAATGAGTTGAATTTTGTTTGATGATACTTATAAACATACATTCATTCATTTGCAACCTCCAAAACATGAATTCTGATCGAAATTAAACATTCTCGCCCATGGGCCGGCCCATGGGCCACTGTTCGCCCATGGGCCTGCCCATGGGCGAGCGAGTTTAAATTTAAAGTTTTTGAAAGAATTTTTTTCATTTTTTCATCCTTGGCATATATTCATAACAACTGCATGTTTAATTAGGTCAAATCCCTTGTCAGAAAGTGCCCACAGTGCGGAGAGTTTCTGGACTTTTGTGAGTTCCAGAATTAAATTGTGATGTTTATACTCTTTTAACTATTACATATGAAAGATTTGTGGTTAGTCTTATACAGAACACCAAATTCATTCTTAAAAAACTTGTGGTTAATTAATACCGAGCGATTAAAAGTTGCCAAAAAGTCGCCTGCTTCACTCTCGCCCGCCAACGAAACCACAGACAGGTTACGTAACAAATATTCTTTGAAGTTTTATTATGTAATATTCGAGGATATACAATTAAATATTCATCTAAAAAGAAGAAAGAAAGAATTAAAACAGATAAGGAAACCAATGAAGCACTTGAAAACCTTGACGTCAAATTAGATGCAGCCATGAACGAAGAATACAAAGATAAATTATTAAAAGAAATAAATGAACTCAAAGAACAACAATTAGAACTTAACCGATACAAAACAGAAGGCATTATACTATAGTCTGTCAACTGAACTTTTGGCACCCTGTTTTTCACAATTAACCTTTTAACCAAAAATGCCTTCAAAATGTTTTTGTGCATATGCTCTTTATATCTTATGACCTATCCAAGGTTTAAATTTCATAATTTTATGTCAATTATTAAAGCTTCTTCTTAAGAAGCAATCTTATAAAAATATGAAAAATAGAAGTAGTTATACAAGGGAGTAAAATGATACGATGGAACAGCCAAAAACATGGTGTGACACGCGTGCATCTTGTTTACATTGTTACGCCTGCAAGCAAATCTACAGGGACTCTATAATCATCATAAATCCATTTTAAACAAGTAGATTCATTGAAGTCTTTAAAGACTGGTTGCTTGATCGCTTGTATCTATATCCAAACTTGAGCAACAGCTTGCATATGGTATTCTTTGATACAATGATGTCATGGTCTTCTTTTGCACATTATTTTCTTCAGTTTGCTTGACAAAATGGATCGATGTAACCGACGCATGACGTCCGTCACAACCTTTCTATCGAATTCATCAAGCTTTGTTTTCTTTGCATGTTTTGAGACGGTCAGGGAGAGGTTTCGTCAGAGAGGAATTATTAGTCATACCGTACGGCACAATGTTACCCCCAAGCAAAATACTTAACACTTACCAAGTAATCCCAATAGTATCCTATCAACACGACATGCCACATGATTAGGAAAGTGCTAGTTCACGGTCATAGCGACACTATTGTGTCACGTGGGGTCGGGAAGTTAACTGGCGGTTCAAAAGTAGTATATACGATCGGGTGAGATCTAAGGGCCTAACAAAAGCTTTATTTGTGAAATATAGCTTTACAGAAGCTTTTATTGGACTTGATCTCGGACTATCATTATATCTACTACTCCCGATTTAACTGCCATGTCACCGTCAGGCTCTGAAATTGTGTCATGGGAAATAACTCTTTGCAATATTATTTTGCAGCTCTTCGTGGCATTAAATGTCTTTTGGAGAAACATTCTATTAAAAAAAAGAGTTTTTTTTCGCTTTGCCTCGCGCTTGAAAACTTGTAAACTCTTTTGATGATTTGCCGGTCATCTTTGTACAACATCGTTTTCCCTACAACCTGTGCATGTTGACGAACTTTGACATCTCTTAAGCGTGCTAATGTAAATACCCGTGCATGTACATATCACGCTAACACACATTTTACAGTGTTGTTGGCTTTTCCGTCAGGTGCGTTAACCCCTCGTAAAACTCTTCACAGTTTTACAATTATTATATGACAGGTTTAAAGGCAAAATCTTTAATAATCGTTTTAAAATTACTAACATCGATATCTTGTTAGGTCACGGTATACAATTACCATATGAACAGAGCAGTGTTTTAAAATATTCAGGAGTTTTATGTAAATTGTGAAAAACAGGGTGCCAAAAGTTGAGTTGACGGACTATAAGATCGAAAGCGAAATGGTATGAACAGGGAGAGAAACTGTCGAAATACTTCCTGTCACTTGAAAAACAAAACTTTAAAAATAAATCCGTTGCTAAATTGCCCTAAAGGATTATCTTATCTAAGCTGATATCTCTATCTCCAAGCCCGACCCCAGGTTTTGCTTTTGAGATGGCCCCTCCTATCTGTGTCTTTTTATAGTGACAGTGAGACTGCATGGTAGCTACATCCTTAATAGTTTCGGCATAAAAGTTATTATTTTTTACGTCAGCTATCGTTTATAATGAGTCTACGTCTAATTTCAAATTGGGCATTTAAAAAGTGTCCTTTGTAATACAATATCGTCACACACTAATTTGCATAAAAACCATGGTCTGTTCCAAATAAGTCTTTTATTATTTTAGAAAAAAACGCATTGCTCATTTCTGCACTAATTTCCCCTGAGTAAAGTCCTTTTTCTCCGTTTTCTATCTCTCTACCACCGAAACTGTAGTTAGGCCGAACTTAGTTTAACAGATATTTCACACTTTCACATATCAACTACATGAATTGTAGAGATAAATGAGAAAATACAGTTTTATTCTATTTCCAACAGTACTATAGTAAAGAAATAAAAGATGTAGAACTAGAAGAACTATTTAAAAATTGCACTATACCTAAAATAACTGAAGAATCTCAATGCCTGGAAGGCGAACTACAATATGATGAAGTCCTTCAATCTCTAAAAAATACGAAAAACAATAAAAGTCCTGGACCATCTGGATTTACCGCACAATTTTACAAATTCTTTTCATGATGTTAACAAATATTTGATTAACTCGTTGAATCACGCATTGAAAACAGATGAACTTTCGGTAAGCCAAAAACAGGGCCGTATAACATGTATTCCCAAACAAGATAAACCTTAAGACCAAATTAAAAACTACAAACCTATATCACTCCTTAACATATCGTATAAACTAGCCTCGTCTGTAATTTCAGCGCGAATACAACGTGTACTCCCGAAAATAAAAAGGGACGATCAAAAAGGCTTCATGAAAGGTAGATACATTGGCGAATGCACGAGACTGGCCAGTGACATTATGGAATATACAGACTATATGAATATACCAGGATTATTGATAATGATAGACTTTGAAAAAGCTTTCGATTCTGTGGAATTTTCTTTTATTGAGAAATGTCTTAACTTCTTTAATGTTGGACCATCAATCAAACACTGGATTAAAACATTTTACAATAACATAAATTCTACCGTTTCAATAAATGGTTTTGCATCAGACTTCTTCCACATTACTAGAGGCTGTAGACAAGGTGATCCTTTGTCGCCATATCTATTTCTCATAGTCGCAGAAATCCTTGCTCACATGTTACGACAAAATGACAAAATAAAAGGGATAAAAATGTTTGAATTAGAATACTTGCTAACACAGTTTGCAGACGATACAACTATAATCTTAGACGGATCTGAACGTTCTTTTCAAACATCATGAGAAGTACTTAAACAATATGCATCCTTCTCTGGTCTTAAAATAGACATTGGTAAAATTAAAGTAGTGTGGATAGGTTCTAAACAACTCTCAAGTACACAGTATTGTAGAGACTATAATCTGGACTGGACGCAAAGACCTTTCAAACTGCTAGGTATCATATTTCAACATAATAAGGCAGAAATGATGGAAAGAAACTATAAAGATAAACTAAAAAAAATGGATAAATTAATGAAACTTTGGTCACTAAGAGATCTCACACCATTCGGCAGAATAACTATTCTGAAAAGCCTAATATTACCCACACTCAATCATCTATTTACCTCACTACCAAACCCCAAAATGAATGCAATTCAAATGATCCAGAAAAAGATCTTCGCATTTATTTGGAGAGGCAAACCAGACAAAATAAAAAGATCTCTGATCATCAGAAACTATAAAGAAGGCGGATTGAAAGTTCCAGATATACTTGAAACTATAAAATCTAAAAATATCATGGATCAGAAGGTTATTTACAACAAACTCTAAATTCAACAATATCTTAAATAGCATGGTAAAAAATACAAACCCAATAGAAATGGGCTCAAATTACCTGAAAACACACATCATCCCAAAACTTAAAATCTTTTTCTGGAAAGATGTTCTGGAAGTTTGGGCTGATTTACAAGAACGGTACCCTTATACGAAATCCGACTTTTGCAAACAGTATATTTGGGCAAATAGCAATATAAAAATTGGAAACAAGTCAATATTATATGAACACTACTTAAAAGCAAATGTAAATTTTATAAATGACGTATTAAAAGATGACGAATCCTTTCTGTCTTTCACTGAGTTTAAAGAGATGTAAAGAGTAGAGACAAATTTCTTAGAATATGCGGTAATATTATCTTCAATAAAACAATATTCAAAGCAAAAAGCTACGATATTGACAAAGCAAAGACATTTACCCTTTATTACCCCGAATGTAAAAATACTCTATGAAAATAAGAAAGGCTGCAATATTTTCTGCACAATGCTACTAAACAAGGTTAAATCAATTCCAAGTTTAGGATATCAATGTAAATGGGAAAACGACCTTCATCACAATTTTCCACCTGACTTATGGAATACCTATCATTTTATACCATTCAGAGCTTTTCATAACACTAAGGAAAGATGGTTTCAATATCGTATTGTCCACAGAATTCCCACGACCAATAAAGACCTATACAACTATGATATATTAGAATCACCACTATGTACGTTTTGCAAGGCTGAAAAAGAAACCATTGTTCATTTAATGTTTGAATTTCAGATACGTAAATAGGCTGTGGCAAGACCTTTAAATTGGAGTGAAGATGAAACAGACACTACTACAAACCTGGATCCGAAAAAAGTCCTTTGGGGCTTTCATGAAAAACGTAACGATGTTCTGAACTTGATATTTATCATAACAAAGGAATATATATATTCCAGAAAACTAGCAAATATACGTCCAACTCTTGAAAGTCTCAAAGCCAAATTAAACCATAGTTACAATCTCCATAAACATAATACATACCCTGTATGCAAATATAGAAGTTCACGACTTTCTGGTTATCATGCCACAACTTGTTTACATAATCTATTCGATCTCACTTATGCTTGTTTTTAATTGTGTTATGTATTTGAAATATTGTTGTGTGTGAAGGATAAAACTGTACTAGTGCGAAGAAAAAATAAAGTGAAAAAAAATGTCCATCCATTAGTTTTGGAAATATCGCAAGAATACTCGCTGTGACCTTGAAAATAATCCGAAGGTCACTGAATTTGACTGGCGTTAGACAATACTCCCAACACATCTTGAAACTACTTTTAAGCAAAATATATTAATTCTGTCTTGTGTGTTCGCACTAAAAAGTTAGACATATGCAAAACAATTTTCACTGTAAACTTAAAATGAGCACAAGTTCTCCAATCTTTTGGTGTAGGGGGATTCCCGCCAAAACACCTTGATATTAAACTGGATCAAAATCTCTTTCCTGAGTTCGCGGCTACCAAGCTTGTATCAAACTGTTACACCTTTGCTGTGACCTTTAGAATGACCTCGAGGTCACTAAATTCAACTGGTGTCGGTAAATCTTGTCAATAAAGCTTGGTACCAAATTTGAACAAAATCCATCATTTTTTTTCTCGAGTTCGTTCAGTAATTAGAAGGAGGGGTGGGGTGGTGGTGGTGTCATTTGAACAAGCGATTGTAGTTTCAAATTGCATTTTTGTGGAGTTCAATATCCAAGTTTGATGCTAGCGAAATTCTACCAATCTCAAGTATACACAAATGTTTCTTGCATATTTTGTTTCCTGAAATTTGTGATGCATTTCATTGCAGACTTTACAATTTTTGGGAGTACAAAGACAAGATACAAAGTCACACAAAGTCGGGATCGTGAGGCTGGAACGTAGCAAAACCTATTTGGTTGGGGCTGACAAATAATATGTAGAAAAATAAAATTGTGCATTTGTATCATATTCTAGGTGATGCTGACTACTTTTTGAACGACCATCGTAGATGTACTCCTTAGAACACCCACCCACCACTCTACATGCAGGTACGTGTGTTAGATATGCTGGTTTAACACACACACACACACACACACACCACACCACACCACACCACACCACACCACACCACACCACACCACACCACCACACCACACCACACCACACCACACCACACACACACACACACACACACACACACATATGGATATATATCAAAACCTCTACAGATATTTGCGAAAAGACATGATACAGAGGACAGAGATTTTATATCGATTATTTGTATCAGGACCAATATCATTTTCGTCATTCAGCTAAGGTTTGTCAATTCTTTCTTGGGTTATCGCGCTAACAATCTTTATATTGGCAAAACCCTCAGATGTTTTTGCTGTGACCTTGCTAATTATCTCAAGGCCACTCAATTTCACTGGTGTCGGTGAATCCCGCCAATATATCTTGGTACCAAATTTGAACAAAGTCCATCGTTTCTTTCTTGAGTTATCGCCCTAACAAGCTTATATGATGTATGACATGTAACGAAAAACATACACACGCGTATATATGAGAGATTAAAACTGTTATTACAATTTACGTCAATTTTTAATTACAATTTACGTTATTATTACAATTTACATCAAGTTTATTACAATTTAATGCAAGTATTACAATAAGAGAAAAGGTAATAAGAATTCCATGGGGGAAATTCCATAACCCAGATCCATATGGACCTCAAGATATAACTGATAACCCAGGTTTAGAAATAACTGATGATCCAGCTTAAGATATAACTGATGATCAAGGTTTACATATAACTGAAGATCCAGGTAAGGTAAAACTCATGATTCAGGTTTAGAAATAACATGACCCAGGTTTATGTATATCTGATGATCCATGTTTAGATATAACTGATGGTCCAGGTTTAGATATACATGTAACTGATGGTCCAGGTTTAGATATAGCTGATGGTCCAGGTTTAGATATAACTGATGGTCCAGGTGTAGATATAAATGATGGTCCAGGTTTAGATATAGCTGATGGTCCAGGTTTAGATATAGCTGATGGTCCAGGTTTAGATATATCTGATGGTCCAGGTTTAGATATAACTGATGGTCCATGTTTAGATATAACTGATGGTCCAGGTTTAGATATAGCTGATGGTCCAAGTTTAGATATAACTGATCATCCAGGTTTGGTTATACATGTAACTGATGGTCCAGGTTTAGATATATCTGAAAGTCCAGGTTTAGATATATCTGATGGTCCAGGTTTAGATATAGCTGATGGTCCAGGTTTAGATATACATGTAACTGATGGTCCAGGTGTAGATATAAATGATGGTCCAGGTTTAGATATAGCTGATGGTCCAGGTGTAGATATAACTGATGATCCAGGTTATAGATGAGGTTCAGAAATAAAAGACGCGACGCACAGTTTACAGTGTCATCGTGTTAATTTCTTTTCTGTATTAATATCATGTGGAATCGTGAATGAATCAATGAGATTAACACAAATGTCAGATGTATCTACACATTATTCCGTCATCTATAGGAAAGTCAGATGAATCTCCTTCTTTAACCGATTCATGGCATTCTGGATTTCGTTTTAGAGAAAATCGGCCCCAACCGCGTCATACCAAAAGACGTTAAAATATGGTACTTGTTGGGCCCCGCCTGGCGCTCGGCATTAATGTGTACAACAAAGACTGGTCGGCTCGGAGTCAGTATAATGTGTCCTGAGTGGGGTATTCATGCTTCACTGCGGCATGATATCTCAGTGAGCTAGCACTATAAAACCAGAATAAGTCTGGGCTAGTACAAGCAGCCGCACCTACACATACACACGCATGCACGTCGTCATATGAGCGAAATATTCTCAAGCACGACGTTAAACCCAATTTCACCTCACCTCACCTCACCTCACCTTTAAAGAATCGCTCCTTTTGTATTTTTGTCACCAGTTAATCTTTTCTGACGTTGTTTTGTTTCGGCACATGCATTTCCTCCCTGCAAATTGAACTGCGGCCTCTGACCTAGCAACTGGGTAATGCATTGTACATAACAGTGCTCATTACAATCCTGGCCGGGTTTTTTTTATAGTTGTAACTGAGCCTCCAGTCAGCGGTAACAGTAATATGTATGTCGATGGCTTGCACCTTCCCGTAGTAGTGTGACTTCAGACGTTGTTCTATATTATCGGACCTCCTCCCCACGTAGATGACCAATCCATCCTGTTTGATAACGTAGATTCCTGTTATTTTCGTCTGTTGTTGAAGCCATTGTTTCTATGGAATGCCTGGGCTACTGATCAGTGTTTGGCTGTTTCCCTCAGTTTCCGTCTGCAATACATGTAACATGGAAGTGAATCCTGACTGACATACTCTTAATAAACAGACAAAACATATATCAGACCTAATACCCCAATCTAACTTGTCAGGATCTGCTGGTCGTGGGTTTGAATCCAAGATTGGTCTTTTATCTGTCAGCAACATACGACTGGATTTCACCCGAATGATCCAACAGTCTAACCTATGACCTCCCTCACACCTTATCTGCCACGCCCTGATATGACAGGGGTACTGCTCAAAACGGAGATGATTTTACAAGCTCAATCAGACCTGATTCTAAGACAAATTTCACATGATTTACAAAATACTTTACAAAATGTTCGCGTACTATCAGTTGGGACAGGTCACGTTACAGACGAAATGTGTTTAACAAACTGGTCCAGACGTGTTCCTAACAAAAAAAAAGATCTTTTGAATATATCTACATAAAGGTCACACATTCATAACAAATCGATTCCTAGCAAGTAATTATCCACGGCCCTCGTACCGTGCAATGGTGCACACCCAGTTTCTGAGAACAAAGACAGTTTGGGGTTCTACAAAGATATTACCAGTTTGAATGTGAGGTGATACTGTAGACTTAAATAATGCTGACATGTCACGCCATGAACATTGGTTTTCATTTATACCTTTACACGTCAGTATTACCTCTACGTATTCATTTTTCGAAAGTCAAAGTATATATGTATGTGTATCAGTGTCACGTTTGTAAACCGATAGTTTGGGGGCAATTTTCGTTTTATTGAAGGCAGAGTTAGAAAGTAAACATTATCAATAAAGAGGCAACACTTTATGTAAATATCTTCAGTAAAACCAGGTGTTGCAATCTGCAATTGCGCAATGTCGGCGGAACGTTAGGTTGAGTTTGGTCTATACTGTTTACTTTAATCCAAACCACTGCCTACATTTCTGAACCCACTAAAGCATCTCACAGTGTTCGAAGAGAGCACGTATTTCATATCAGAATTGATCATATCACTGACATGAGGCATTTCGCGATACGGTCTACACAGAGAACGTCTATGACACGCAGTGCATTACCTGGGTCGTATTACAACCTCGCTGATCGATAATATCGCCCCCGAGGTAAACAACTAGAGTCGTCTTGAAAACTATCCATGAAATAATCGACAACATCGTCTCCAAGAATTTGACTGATTTTATGTTTGAAGTTTTCGTCCAGATACCCTAAGACAAGCGTCATGTGTATGTGTGTGTGTGCGTGCGTGTGTGTGTGTGTGTCTTTGCACGTGCGTGTGTGTCTGTCTGTGCACGTACGTGCGTGTGCGTGTGCGACGCTTGTCTTGGGATATCTGAAGGAAAATTCTTCGAGACGATGCTGCCATTGAAGACAGAATCAATAAAGCGTTACAACTTACTAGAGAAGATCGTTTGACAGGAACGATGAAACAAACCAATGTGGAAGAAGTAATTGCTTTTGCTATAACTGATGGTCAGGTTTAGATATAACTGATGATCCAGGCTTAGATATAATTGATGGTACAGGTTTAGATATAACTGATAATCCAGGTTTAGATATAACAAATGATCCAGGTTTAGATATAATTGAGGGTCCAGGTTTAGATATAACAGATGATCTAGGTGTAGATATAACTGATAATCCATGTTTAGATATAACTGATGGTCAAGGTTTAGAAACAACTGATAATCCAGGTTAAGATATATCAGATGGTCCAGGTTTAGATATAACTGATGATCCAGTTTAGATATAACTAATGATCCAGGTTTAGATATAACTGATGGTCCAGGTTTAGATATAACTGATGGTCCAGGTTAATATAACTATCTGATGGTCCAGGTGTAGATATAACTGATGATCCAGGTTTAGATATAACTGATGGTCCAGGTTAAGATAAAACTGATGATCCAGGTTTAGATATAACTGATGGTCCAGGTTAAGATATAACTGATGGTCCAGGTTAAGATATAACTGATGGTCCAGGTTAAGATATAACTGATGGTCCAGGTGTAGATATAACTGATGATCCAGGTTTAGATATAACTGATGGTCCAGGTTAAGATAAAACTGATGATCCAGGTTTAGATATAACTGATGGTCCAGGTTAAGATATAACTGATGGTCCAGGTTAAGATATAACTGATGGTCCAGGTTAAGATATATCTGATGATCCAGGTTTAGATATAACTGATGATCCAGGTTTAGATATAACTGATGGTCCAGGTTTAAATATAGCGGATGGTCCATGTTTAGATATAACTGATGGTCCAGGTCTAAATATAACAGATGATCCAGGTTCAGAAATAACAGATGATCCAGGTTTAGATATAACTGACGATCGAGGTTTAGATATAACTGATGATCCAGGTTTAGATATAACTGATGATCGAGGTTTAGATATAACTGATGGTCCAGGTTTAGATATAACTGATAATCGAGGTTTAGATATAACTGAAGATCAAGGTTAATATATAACTGATGATAAAAGCTTACACATAACTGATGGTCCAGGATTAGATGTAATTGATAATCCAGGTTTATATTTAACTGATGATCAAAGTTTACACATAACTGATTGTCAAGGTTTAGATATAACTGATGATCCAGGTTTAGATATAACTGACGATCGAGGTTTAGATATAACTGATAATCCAGGTTCAGATATAACTGATGATCCAGGTTTAGATATAACTGATGATCGAGGTTTAGATATAACTGATGGTTCAGGTTTAGATATAACTGATAATCCAGGTTTAGATATAACTGAAGATCAAGGTTAATATATAACTGATGATAAAAGTTTACACATAACTGATGGTCCAGGATTAGATGTAATTGATAATCCAGGTTTATATTTAACTGATGATCAAAGTTTACACATAACTGATTGTCAAGGTTTAGATATAACTGATGATCCAGGTTTAGATATAACTGATGATCCAGGTTTAGACACAACTAATGATCCAGGTTTAGACACAACTGATGATCCAGGTTAAGACACAACTGATGATCCAGGTTTAGACACAACTAATGATCCAGGTTAAGACACAACTGATGATCCAGGTTTAAATATAACTGATGATCAAGGTTAATATATAACTGATGATAAAAGCTTACACATAACTAATGGTCCAGGATTAGATGTAACTGATAATCCAGGTTTATATTTAACTGATGATCAAAGTTTACACATAACTGATTGTCAAGGTTTAGATATAACTGATGATCCAGGTTTAGATATAACTGATGATCCAGGTTTAGATATAACTGATGATCCTTGTTTAGATATAACTGATGATCCAGGTTTAGACACAACTGATGATCCAGGTTTAGATATAACTGATGATCCAGGTTTAGACACAACTGATGATCCTGGTTAAGACACAACTGATGATCCAGGTTTAGATTTAACTGATGATCTAGGTTTAGATATAACTGATGGTCCAGGTTTAGACACAACTGATGATCCAGGTTTAGATATAACTGATGATGCAGGTTTAGATATATGTGATGGTCCAGGTTTAAGATGTGGGTCAGAAAGAAAAGATAGGACGCAAAGTGTACAATGTCATCATGTTTATTTCTCTTTTATATAATATTGCCGATTGACGATAAATATTAACTCACTCACTCACTCTCTTATATATCTTCGGTAATGAATATGGCAAAGATTAACACAAATCTCACACGTATATACACATTATTCAGTCAGTTATACGTAAGTCAGATAAATCTCCTTCTTTAAAAGTTAAATGACATTCTGGACTTCGTTTCAGAGAATCGCACATTCTATATCCTTGTCACCGCGTTTATCTTCTCTCACATTGGGCACACGCATCTCCTTCTTTTATGTTGAACCTCGGCCGCCGACCTTGCAACTCAGTAATGTGGTGTATATAACAGCGCTCATTACGCCTCTGGTCGGGGTCAACCACATAGTTGTAGCTGAGCCTCGAGTCAGCGGTATCAGCAATATGTATGTCGATGGCTTGCTCCCCGTAGCAGTGTGCCCGCGGACGTTGGTTTAGATTGCCGGTCCTCCCCACGTAGATGACCCATCTACCCTGTTTGATAATGTAGATTCCTGCTTCTTGCGTCTGAGGCCACTGTCTCCATGGAATGCCTCGGCTATTGATCAGGGTTCTGCTTTTTCTCCTTGTTTCCGCCTGCAATGTATGTAACACGGAAGTGAATCCTGACTGAGATACTCTTAATAAACAGACAAATATATATCAGACCTAATACCCCAATCTAACTTGTCAGGATCTGCTGGTCGTGGGTTTGAATCCAAGATTGGTCTTTTATCTGTCAGCAACCTACGATTGGATTTCAACCGAATGGTCCAACAGTCTAACCTTCGACCTCCATGACACATCATCTGCCACGCCAGTTTGACTGTAAGGTAATCCTATAGGCGTATATAGTGCTGACGTGTCTCGCCATGAACATTGGTTTTCTTTATATCTTTATACGTCTGTATTACCTCCACATGATCATTTCAAATGAGATTTTTCGAAAGTCATAGTGTATGTATGTGTTTGTAGAGATGAGGATAGGACATAGAACGTTATTCTGTTTGAATGTAAGATGATACTATAGGCGTATATAATATTGACATGTCTCTTAATTTACAGTGAGTGAGTGAGTTTTACGCTTAAGTTTACAATATTCAGGCAATATCACGGCGGTGGACACCACAAATGGGCTTCACATATTTTAGTCATGCGAGGAATCGTACCCGGTTCTTTGGCGTGATGAGCAAACACTTTAACCACTAGACTTTGTAAAGACGCCCATTTTGGTTTTGTTATATCATGGAAGAATATATGGAGGATATTTTGTTAATATTGTCCATTAACATGTATATTTCATCGTGTGGTCTGACAAAGTTGATATGTTCACAAAGTTGATATGTTTATGAGTGGTGCAGATCAAGACATCGAGTAAGTCTGCATTTTGTTATGCTACCCAGCAGTCGAGCCTTTGAGCAGAAAGTAGTTCCAGGCAAAAGTGATATTCTGCTCAGTGAAATAACATGCTATTCTATACTCATTTAATACCATTTCTATTTTCACCAATATTTACAGTTTTTCACCCTTAAGAATATATTAAAGAGAGGATATTTGGTTTGTCAATAAAACGACGCTTTAACCAATAGGCTACCCCACCGCCCACCTTCTCACATGTACCTGACACGACCTCTGACAAAAGTACCATCCAATCCACAATCACAGAGCTGATTCTAAGACAAATGTCAAATTAGCTATTGAATACTTACAGGACAGTTCGCCATTCCAGAAACCTTAGTGCTAAACAGGTGTAGGGCAGGTCTTCTCCTTTAGCAGGGTGGAGGGTTGTCTGCAGGTATCCCCTGTTTGAACTGAATTTGGTGTTTTCTAATCAATGCATGGGTTATGTGTCACGTCTTTTATCAATAATATAGGTGTTCTTATACAGTATGCATGAGAAGCTATGTATACAGGACACCTTCAGCACAGTTTACTAAAGGTTAACAATACACATGTGTTTATGTGATTCTTGAGACATCAGAAGCTTAAGTAAATGTTTGGGGCATCTTTTGAAATATAAATAGAGTGTAAAATGAGAGGTAGTTGGTTATGATGCCACATCACATTCAAGGGCATCAGTTGTACATATCTACATTGGGTAGGGAGTCAAACCAATATCTGTGCCATCACAAGTTAATCCTTGAATCACCCAGCTACCCAGTGCCCTGCCTTTACATAAATATATATATATCCGTGTCGTGTGATTATTTCAGAAACTTCTTCTGATATATATATATATATATATATATGTGTGTGTGTGTGTGTGTGTGTGTGTGTGTGTGTGTGGTCCACGTTTACGTGTAACTGATGGTCTAGGTTTAGATATAACTGATGATCCAGGTTTAGGTATAACTGATGGTCCAGGTTTAGATACATCTGATGGTCCAGGTTTAGATACAGCTGATCGTCCAGGTTTAGATTCAACTGATGATCTAAGTTAAGATATAACTGATGATCCAGGTTTAAACAAGAATGATAATCCAGGTTTAGATATAGCTGATGATCCTGGTTTATATATAACATGATCCAGGTTTAGATATAGGCCCACGTTTATATTTAACTGATGATCCGGGTGTATATATAACTAATGATCCAGGTTTAGATATAACTGATGATCCAGGTTTAGATATAACTGATGATCCAGGTTTAGATATAACTGATGGTCCAGGTTTAGACATAACTGATCATCCACTTTTAGACGTAACTGATGATCCAGGTTTAGATGTTACTGATAATCCAGGTTTTGATTGAACTGATTATTCAAGTTTAGCGTATGGTCCAGATGTAGATATAATTGAGGTTCCAGGTTTAGAAATAACTTATGATGCAGGTTTAGATATCCAGTTTATAGAAGATGGTCAGAAATAAAAGACACGACGCACAGTTTACAATGTCATCATGTTTATTTCTCTTTTTTTCTAATATCATATGAAATCGTGAATGAATGTGGCAAACATTAACGCAAATCTCACATGTATATACACATTATTCAGTCAGCTAAAGGTAAGTCAGATGGATTACCTTCTTTAACTGATTCATGACATTCTGGATTTCGTTTTAGAGAATCGCACATTCTGTATCCTTGTCACCAGGTTTATCTTCTCTGGATACACGCAGGACATGAGGCACACGCATCTCCCCCTTGTCTGTTGAAACTCCTTGTCACCAGGTCGATCTTCTCTTACATTGGGCACACAAACGACAATAGGTACACGCATCCCTTCCCTGCCTGTTGAACCTCCTTGTCACCAGGTCTATCTTCTCTTACATTGGGCACACAAACGACAATAGGTAAACGCATCTCCTCTCTTTATGTTGAACCGCCTTGTCACCAGGTCTATCTTCTCTTACATTGGGCACACAAACGACAATAGGTACACACATCCCTTCCCTGCCTGTTGAACCTCCTTGTCGCCACGTCTATCTTCTCTTACATTTGCCACACAAACGACACTAGGTACACGCATCTCCCCCCTGCCTGTTGAACCTCCTTGTCACCAGGTCTATCGTCTCTTACATTGGGCACACAAACGACAATAGGTACACGCATCCCTTCCCTGCCTGTTGAACCTCCTTGTCACCAGGTCTATCTTCTCTTACATTGGGCACACAAACGACAATAGGTACACGCATCTCCTCCCTGCCTGTTGAACTTCCTTGTCACCAGGTCTATCTTCTCTTACATTGGGCATCACAAACGACAATAGGTACACACATCGCCTCTCTTTATGTTGAACCGCCTTGTCACCAGGTTTATCTTCTCTTACATTGGGCACACAAACGACAATAGGTACACGCATCTCCCCCCTGCCTGTTGAACCTCCTTGTCACCAGGTCTATCTTCTCTTACATTGGGCACACAAACGACAATAGGTACACGCATCGCCTCTCTTTATGTTGAACCGCCTTGTCACCAGGTCTATCTTCTCTTACATTGGGCACACAAACGACGATAGGTACACACATCCCTTCCCTGCCTGTTGAACCTCCTTGTCACCAGGTCTATCTTCTCTTACATTGGGCACACAAACGACAATAGGTACACGCATCTCCCCCCTGCCTGTTGAACTTCCTTGTCACCAGGTCTATCTTCTCTTACATTGGGCACACAAACGACAATAGGTACACGCATCGCCTCTCTTTATGTTGAACCGCCTTGTCACCAGGTCTATCTTCTCTTACATTGGGCACACAAACGACAATAGGTACACGCATCTCCCCCCTGCCTGTTGAACTTCCTTGTCACCAGGTCTATCTTCTCTTACATTGGGCACACAAACGACAATAGGTACACGCATCCCTTCCCTGCCTGTTGAACCTCCTTGTCACCAGGTCTATCTTCTCTTACATTTGCCACACAAACGACAATAGGTACACGCATATCCTCTCTTTATGTTGAACCGCCTTGTCACCAGGTCTATCTTCTCTTACATTGGGCACACAAACGACAATAGGTACACGCATCTTCTCTCTTTATGTTGAACCTCCTTGTCACCAGGTCTATCTTCTCTTACATTGGACACACAAACGACAATAGGTACACGCATCTCCTCTCTCTATGTTGAACTCTGGCCGCCGACCTTGCAACTGAGTAATGTGGTGTTCATAACAGTGCTCATTACACTTCTGGCCGTGGTCAACCACATAGTTGTAGCTGTGCTTCCTGTCAGCGGTATCAACAATGTCATGGATATGTCTGTCGATGGCTTGCACCTTCCCGTAGGACGTTGGTGACCGCGGACGTTGGTGTAGATTGCCTGTCCTCCCAACATAGATGATCCATCTACCCTGTTTGATAATGTCGATTCCTGGATCCTCTGTTTCAGGCCATTGCCCCTATGGATTGCCATGGCTGTCGATCAGGATTTGGCTGTTTCGCATAGTTTTCGTCTGCAATATCTGTAACATGGAGTGAACCCTGACTGAAATGCTCTTAATAAACAGACAAAACATATATCAGACCTAATACCCCAATCTGACTTGTCAGGATCTGCTGGTCGTGGGTTTGAATCCAAGATTGGTCTTTTATATGTCAACAACATATGACTGGTCTTCACCCGAATGATCCAACAGTCTAACCTTTGACCTCCCTCACACCTTATCTGCCACGCCCTGATATGACTGGGGTACTGCTCAAAACGGATATGATTTTACAAGCTCAATCAGACCTGATTCTAAGAAACTTTCACATGATTTACAAAATACTTTACAAAATGTTCGCGTACTATCAGTTGGGGCAGGTCACGTTACAGACGAAGTGTGTTTAACAAACTGGTCCAGACGTGTTCCTAACAAAAACAAAAGATCTTTTGAATATATCTACATAAAGGTCACACATTCATAACAAATCGATTCCTAGCAAGTAATTATCCACGGCCCTCGTACCGTGCAATGGTGAACACCCAGTTTCTGAGAACAAAGACAGTTTTGGGTTCTACAAAGATATTACCAGTTTGAATGTAAGGTGATACTATAGACGTATATAATGCTGACATGTCACGCCATGAACATTGGTTTTCATTTATACCTTTACACGTCAGTATTACCTCTACGTATTCATTTTTTCGAAAGTCAAAGTATATATGTATGTGTATCAGTGTCTTACGTTTGTAAACCGATAGTTGGGGGCAATTTTCGTTTTATTGAAGGCAGAGTTAGAAAGTAAACATTGTCAATAAATAGGGAACACTTTGTTATGTAAATACCTTCAGTAAAAAACAGTTGTTGCAATCTGCAATTGCGCAATGTTGGCGGAACGTTAGGTTGAGTTTGGTATATACTGTTTACTTTAATCCAAACCACTGCCTACATTTCTGAACCCACTAAAGCATCTCACAGTGTTCGAAGAGAGGACGTATTTCATATCAGAATTGATCATATCACTAACATAAGACATTTCGCGATACGGTCTACACAGAGAACGTCTATGACACGCGGTGTACTACCTGGGTCGTATTACAACCTCGCTGATCGATAATATCGCCCCCGTGGTAAACAATTACAGTCGTCTTGAAATCTTTTCCAACTATCCATGAAATAAAGGACAACATCCTCTCCAAGAATTTGACTGATTTTATGTTTAAAGTTTTCGTCCAGATACCCTAAGACAAGCGTCATGTGTATGTGTGTGTGTGCGTGCGTGTGTGTGTGTGTCTGTGCACGTGTTAGCGACGATGTTGCCCTTAAGGACGGAATCAATTAAGCGTTACAACTTAATAGAGAAGATCGTTTGACAGGAACGATGAAACAAACCCAATGTGGAAGAAGTAATTGCTTTTGTATCAACTTATAATTGTGGAACCAAATTGTGTTCCAGAAAATCAAATTTAAACAAATCTGTGCATCTTAGAACAAGATGAAAAACTTAAATCAATGCTGAAATCTAGAAAAAATAATAAGTAGCAAAAGACAAAATCATAATCTTACAAAGATCCTAGCAAAATTCATTTTTAAAAACCAGAATGTATCAAATCCTACTGGGAGTACTTGGGAAGAGAAAAAATAGAGACATTCAATAACCCAGATCCATTTGGAGGTGTAACTGATGGTCCAGGTTTAGATATAACTGATGGTCCAGGTTTAGATGAAACTGATGGTCCAGGTCTAGATATAACTGATGATTCAGGTTTAGATATAACTGATGATTCAGGTTTAGATATAACTGATGATGTAGGTTTAGATATATAATTGATGGTCCAGGTTTAGACATAACTGATGATCCAAGTTATAGTTGAGGGTCAGAAATCAAAGTACAGTTTTCAATGTCGTCACGTTTATTTCTCTTCTGTTCTGGTATCATATCAATTCGTGAATGAATGTGGCAAATATTAACACAAATCTCAGATTTATATACACATTATCCAGTCAGCTATAGGTAAGTCAGGTGAATCTCCTTCTTTAATTGATTGATGACATTATTGATTTCGTTCTAGAGAATAACACATTTTGTATCCTTGTCACCAGGTTCATGTTTTCTTACACTGGACACATGCACGACACGCATCTCCTCCCTTCATGTTGAACTCTGGCCGCCAACCTTGCGATTCAGTAATGTGGTGTTCATAACAGTGTTCATTACACTTCTGGCGGCGGTCAACCACAAAGTTGTAGCTGAGCCTCCCGGCATCGGTACCACCAATGTGTATGTCGATGGCTTGCACCTTCCCCTTGCAGTGTGACTTCAGACGTTGTTTTATATTTTTGGACCTCCCCACGTAGATGACCCATCCATCCTCTTTGATAACGTAGATTCCTGCTATTTTCTTCTTTTTTTTAGGCCAATGTTTCCATGGAATGCCTGGGCTATCGATCAGGGTTTGGCTGTTTCCCTCAGTTTTCGCCTGCAATATGTGCAACACGGAAGTGTATCATGACTGACATACTGTTAATAAACAGACAAAACATATATCAGACCTACTGCCCGCATCTGACTTGACAGGATCTACTGGTCGTGGGTTTGAATCCAAGATTGGTCTTTTATCTGTCAGCAACCAACGATTGGATTTCAACCAAATGGTCCAGCAGTCTAACCTTTGACCTCCATGACACATTATCTGCCACGCCAGTGTGAATGTAAGGTAATCCTATAGGCGTACATAGTGCTGACGCGTCTCGCCATGAACATTGGTTTTCTTTATATCTTTATACGTCTGTATTACCTCCACATGATCACTTCAAATGAGATTTTTCGAAAGTCATAGTATAGGTATGTGTTTGTAGAAGTGAGGATAGGACATAGAACGTTATTCTTGCTGGGTGAGAGTATAGGAGAGGGTATTACCTGTTTGAATGTAAGATGATGCTACAGGCGTATATAATGCTGACGTGTCTCTTAATTTACAGTGAGTGAGTGAGTTTTACGCTTATGTTTACAATATTCCAGCAATATCACGGCGGTGGACACCACAAATGGGCTTCACATATTTTAGTCATGCGAGGAATCGTACCCGGTTCTTCGGCGTGATGAGCAAACGCTTTAACCACTAGACTTTGTAAAGACGCCCATTTTGGTTTTGTTATATCATGGAAGAATATAGAGAGGATATTTGGTTTGTCTCTTCAGTAAAACGACGCTTTACATTGATTCTCCGCTTAACGCACATTTCCTGTATTTCGTTGCCCCTGTCGTCTTATAAAATATTTTGTCATTGAAATGTACTTTTCTTCTTCCTGTGTGTGCGGGCCGCTGTTTTAGTATCACAATTCATGTTACTTCAGTGTTTTTGTCAGTAATTTTGTTATACACCGCATCATGATATAGACCTTTGTTACATATTTTCTTTGTCCCTCCTGCAAGTACCTGATAACAATTCCACGCATTGCAACCATTTGTGTAAATATGCTATCTCATTGGACTTGAAAATATATATACTTGCAAAATCATAAAGGAAATACTAGGTAGTCATAAGAAAATTTGTTTCTAAAAACATTGCATTATTTGTGTCCCTGGTACTGCCATCAGATACGTGAAACAGTTTAGTCATCGACCAGTAATACATATTCAAAATCATACAACGAGTCGTACGAGTGCTTTCGTTTCCAGTTATTCCAGTCTGTAAAACAGTTATGTGCTTTTGCTTTCTAAAGTTAACTTGAAAAGATACATGTGGTCGTACCTGAACTAGAAGGTTTGTTACTTTCATTTTTCATCAGATACGTGAACTCGTCATCTGTAACTGAAGGGATTCTGTACAGCGCAGTAGTTGTAAACCAATTGCTTTTTAAGCACCGATGACAGCAGTATCACAAATGTGTGTGAAACTAAGCGAGATAAACTTCACTCCAACTGTAGGCCGAATTTTGCTTTTGTAGCATCAGATACGTTTTCGTCAGATACGTGTAATACAATATGGAAAATCATTGTTGTTGTTTCTATATCTGCAACAATTCTACTTATTTTGCTCTTGTCTTGTGTTGTATTAAATTCTAATGAATTATCTAGCATTCGCAAGATGCAACGGGTTTCTTTCTGGCTGGTTTGTAATATGTTATCTACTTAACGTATCTAACGTTCAACAAAATCACTACTTTTTTTTACCAATAGATATTTGTATAACCATTCTTCATTTGTGTCCACCAATTACAGATTCTGAAAGACCGTATCCTAGATTATCTCGACAAGCTTTTAAATTATAAGTATTGTTTAGTTCTTTTACTGTCACTTAATCTCAGAAAATGTGCACTTTGTTTAACCAACAGACTACCCCACCGCCCACCTTCTCACATGTACCTGACACGACCTCTGACAAAAGTACCGCCCAGAACTCAGTCACAGAGCTGATTCTAAGACAAATGTCAAATTAGCTATTGAATACTTACAGAACACTTCGCCATTCCCGAAACCTTAGTGTGAGGCAGGTATCTGTGAACGTAGCTTGTACAGCAATGGCGCACAGTCAGTTTCCTAGAAGTGATACAATTCCGAGTATTGTCGGGCTATATGAAGTGTCACTTGCACAATGATACCGATATAAATATAACCAATGTAACGCTGACGTATCTCTAAATTTAGTCACGCAATGGATATTGCATAACATCATCCTATAGCCCGATAATTTGATATCGTGTTCCTGACAAATGTGTGGTCTTTAGTAAAGAAAATTGACAGGAAAGGAAAAAGTAGGAGTTCATGACAACAATATCCCAACACGAGCTGAATTCGACGTTCTGGTGATTTCGACGATTGCATTGCACGCGCTATATCGGGGGAGTACGTGTGCGATCGGTGTGCACAAACAGTTTCACTGGTAGGGCGGGTGCCCAGTCGCTGTCGTGAGAAGTTTTATTGACAATGGAAATCGGGAAGTAAAGTTATATAAAAAGCAAACAAACATCAATATTATTTACCCGAGATCGTTAATACCACTTTAGATGCAAAATCAGCTGCCTTTATAACAAAAAATAGCAAGCGAAAATTAAGTAAGATCAGTCGTCTGCTGGTGACAGGCAATATATACTGGCCACATTAAGAAACTGTGCACACAGAAAATATAAATATAGGCACACAGCGTATTTATACATAAATACATTTGTGAACATAGCAAGTATGCTCATGCACGTGCCAGGCGACGTGACGTCATTGACGGTGGCGTATGGCCTTGCAATGTGTTACTGCACGTGCAGTCCTTACAGCTGCACACAACATGTGAAACTCTGAAATTGCTGTCACTGTCGAAAGTTTGATCTTTTGTCATTCAAACGTTCACAAATCCACATGAGAAGTCACATGCACATCATGCATAGATTAACATCTGCTCAACGTCATGAAGCCATTGGAATGGTTCGAGCAGGAATGAGCCAACAACAGGTGGCAACACATTTCCAATGCCATCGTAACACGATATCTGCATGGGTCAGGCGTTATCGAAACAGTAATGACGTCGCCGACCACCCACGTTCTGGGCGTTCCCGACGTAACGACGCCAAGACAGGACAGGTGGATTCGGGTGACTCATCTCAGATACAGGTTCAAGACAGCAGTGACCACGCCCCAGACCATTTCCCAGGCCTCCAATGCACATTTGGTAGCCTCTATGCTTCGTCGTTGTACTACTGTGCTTCACACACATGGTGGTCATACCTGTTATTGATTTTGTGACTTCGTCATGTGACCCCCCTACTCGATTTTGAACTTCTGACGTCATCGTTACGGATATTGTTCATGTTCTTTGACAACTTCGTGTGGTCCGATACTTCAGCTTATAAAGTGTCCACATCATTTCGTCTTTGCTGTGTTGTATTCCAATTCTGAAGGCATGTGTGCACAGTTTCTTTATGTGGCTAGTATATAAATAGGAAGCCACGTGATCACAACACTCCCTTCGCAGTGCGGAGCAAAAAGTATGGCTCATCGTCGAAAACCCATACCAAATACCCGGATGTTACGAGCGGCAACAGTTTCGCCGATACGATGTCATCAACGCTATTTTTGTAGGAAACACTTGATATTTTTGTGTGAAATAGATGAATATATCCTTTATCACTCGAGGTTAGTAAAATAAAATTTTTAAATGATATTACAGATAAAAAATACGTTTTTGTCTTACATCGTCGAAACCCCCTGACACCGGGATACCAGTTACCTCCCAATTTCAATGGAAAGCGAAGAAGTGTGGAGGGAGGTACTTTAAGGTGCAGAAGACCGAGGAAGACTCCCTAAAGATGTGGTAACAATGGACACAAAGAAGGTTATAGAATTAAGCGGTGTGAATGGGAGCGACGACAGGTGTTCGTCGTCTGCTTCAGGACTGTCGTTTGCTCGCGAAGAGCTTCCGGTTTTCACACCTAAGGTTGTTGAAACCGTCTGGTGTCATTCGTCACCACTCGCCCCTTTCCGTAACCTCCAAGAAGACTCGTCCCCCCACTCGATACTTGTTATAAGCGAAAATACGACAAACCAGCCAGAACGCGCGTAAATGAGCCGGGTGCTTTGATAAAAATAATCCCGAGTACTTAAATCGTTTAAGGCATTATGTCATTGTTTAAAAAATCATGAAAAATATATATCGTAGCTAACAGGATTTTGCTGGCTATTATGAAGTTTTTAATAAGAATCATGCGAATGACGGTGAGATATTCAAATACACACGGTTCTCATGGGTCCAACGGAGTGTGTTTCTGACGAGCTTGCGAGCTTGTTATGGAGAGTGTACGTGCGCTTCGACCAATTTTAGGAAATGTAATTATAATCGCTTCGAGTTTCAAAACTATAATATCATACTTGTATGTAACTGATCAACCTTAATCTTTAACATTGGGCTTATATTTCACAGCTCTGGGGATATTTTAGTCTGACTGTTTGTTGGTCATTCATATTTTTTTCAGCGAATTCATTTAAAATTCCACCAGGGGTGTGACAGCAAGGTTACACGAATACAATGTATTCAGTTTGAGAAACATTTTATAGTCATTTCTTTGAGTATCTGCTTTGGGATTTAATGTAGCCGAAAAAATATTATTTTATTTGTATATTCAATAAAACAATTCCCATTTTTGATTATTAAACCTTATTTAGAAAATTGGAAATATTCTGATTGGTTTGCTGTATTTTCGCACATAACAAGCATCGAGTGGGGAACGAGTCTTCTTGGAGGTTACGGAAAGGGGTGAGTGGTGACGAATGCCTTCGAGAGGGGAACGAGTCGGTATTCGGCTTGTCCCGGAATAACACGAGTGGGTCACGAATGGTCTGGTGTATGTCTCGTTGTGTTGTGCGTGTGCGCTCGCGTGTATTTTACTCTGCGTGAGGTGTTCCTCAAGATAATTTACTCCAGACAAATTATGTACAGTTCCAGTTTTCTATAACACGCGTGTATTTGTATAGTGAGACAGAAATGTGAGC